TCCCAATTACAAACTAGCAATTGCCTTTTTGGAACATTATTTTGTTCGTTGCCAAACGCGGGTGTGTGCGCATAAAAGTGTACACAATATATCTCGTGTGTTGACGTAAAACCTTTTCTAACGTAATCTACTTCCGTTAACTTTATACGCTATCTCTTGGTTACTCATTTTATATCATGACGTTTACCAGATTTTCATACACCTGTCCTCACCGGCTACACCCCGTTAGCCCCCCCCCCCTCGCCCCAGCTGCCCCAAAACCCACAACTCACCAATACATATAAGGTTATTTATAACCAATGTTGGTGTATTTAATTACCAAAGTATTATTCGTATACATGGCACTGTACTGGTATTCAAAAATATATGTAAAATTCCAAACTTGCTATAATAATGTTTCTTGTGAGATTTAATTAAACCCATTCAGGCTACTAGAACGAAAATGTAAACAAACACATACTACTTCTATTGTCCACCGGGAACGGTGTACCTGGAATGAGCGCAGGCACAAATATCTGTTCGGACATTTTCGTCCTAAAAACAAGATTAAGTTAAAGATTTGATCTCGCTTTAACCTGCATAAAACATCGCATTTCCCGTCGCTGATGCTTAAGCTCGAATAACCAACAGGAAAAGAATTACCCCGTGATGGTGTACATCCACGGAGGCGCCTTCCTCACCGGGAACACCAGCCGCCACAACCCCGAGCTCTTCCTGGACCAAGACATTGTCGTTGTTACGATTCAGTATCGTCTGGGAGTTCTTGGTAAAGGACGTTTTTGCCAGACATGTACTCTATGGTACATGCATCCATCTGAAAATGGATAATTGAATATCTAACGAATAAAAAAAGTAGTCCTAAAAAAGTAATTATATTCAGTCATGATCATTACAAACAAGTCGTCCAAATCCACACATCGTCCTCACTCGCACAAAACCCTGAGCAGGATTCCTGTCGACGGAGGACGAGGCGCTGCCGGGCAACCTGGGCCTGATGGACCAGACGCTCGCTCTCCGCTGGGTACACGAGAACATCGCTCGCTTCGGGGGCGACGTGACGAGGGTCACCGTCGCCGGCTTGAGCGCCGGCGCTGCCTCGGCCCACATGCACCTGTTCAATCCCCACGCGAAAGGTGAGGCGTGGTTCCAGGCAGGAAGCACTGGCGCAAACGCAGCAGACGCCACCCGTGAGGCAGGATTTCTTTCTCGGATTCTTTCTCCCGCAGGACTGTTCTCGCGCGCCATTCTCATGTCGGGATCGGCGCTGTGCCCCTGGGCCCTGAGGAAGGGCCACAGAAAGGTCGCAATGGCAGTTGGCGAAACATTCAACTGCCAATCGGACCCTAAGGACGCAAGCGGCGTCGAGAGAAGCAAACTCTTGGTGGAATGCCTTCGTAAAGCTCCTCTCAAGGAGCTCGTTTCCTCCTTCATGGACTTCCAGGTAAGGAGGCAATATCTTTCAATATTTATAACTATATATGTGTGTGTATATATATATGTGTGTGTGTATTTGTGTGTGTGTGTGTGTGTGTGTGTGTGTGTGTGTGTGTGTGTGTGTGTGTGTGTGTGTGTGTGTATGTGTGTGTGTGTGTACGCGTACATGTCTACATACATGCTTATATATATGTGTGTGTGTGTGTGTGTTCATATACATATACATATATACACATACATGTATACGTGTGTGTACTGTGAGTTACGAGTTGCCATTCACTATTCCAGAACTATGACCTATTTACTATATCATTTAATGATTTGATTTGATGACAAAGGTGTGAAGCAGAGTGAGTACCAAAACGATACCTTGTGTGGTAGAGGCTAGAGTCCCTGTTAATCAGTGCAGTTATAATGCATGGCCTTCATATATATGTGTATCTCTTTGCCTTTCCTTAGATTTTGGAAACCACAGCATCTTGTTAGTCTTTTATGATGACGCCCTTTCGTGATGACACTGCAGGTGTGGAACAGCCTCCCGTGGGAGACGGTGCCCCGGGTGGACGGCGACTACCTGCCCGATCACCCGGCGCGCCTCCTCGCTCAGGGGCGCTTCCATGACGTCAGCATCGTCACCGGCGTCAACCTCCACGAAGGGCGACTCGTCACCCAAGGTAATGGGATGAGGCTTCGAGACGGCGGTCCTTGTTTTGGATAGATGAGGTAGAGATAGCTTAAAAGGGATTGCAGAAAGGGGGTGGATAACGAGAAAGTGAGGAGAGGCCAAGTCGAGGCTGACACTTCCTTTGGCCTAGGCCTAAGTCTTCCACTCCAGCAGTGCCACAGAATCTCTCTTTTTGCGTGAGAGGCTCACCGCCATCCATCCCTGGACCTCCTTGTGGGACTCGCCATGAAGCCGGGCGTTCACCCTCGCGCCCTCAAGGGTTTCCGCAGCAAGACCGCTGTGTTTGTCCTGCCCGTCATCCCGGCTGCCCTGCTGATCGTCTGCCAAAGCTCAAAGTGCTCAGCGGCTGCCGTAAGTGGTAGAGACAGCACATATTAATCGAACTGCAACTTCTCTCAACAGGTATGTTCTCAAATCCGAAGGTGTTCCGAGCACTGGCGACCGACTTCGACTCTGTCGCGCCCAGCGTGGCGCTGCTCTTCCAGGAGGGCGACTACTGGCCGAGGAGCCTCTCCCGCCGCGCCTTCGAGTACTACCTCGGAGGCACCGAGATCAGCGCCAGCAGCCACGCCGACGAAGTGGCGCTCACGCAGGTGTGTACACTGCTCATTGTGACACATGTAAAAAAAGTATGAATGAGAGGGAACATGTTCATAGCACAAGTGACACATTTGGCCAGTTACCTGCGTCGGAAATATGTGTATCTGTGACCGAGATATACTCGAAACGTCGAACACGCCTCTTGTGCCATGAGTGTATTCATTCTCACTCATAGTTTTCTCTACAGGTGTGTGGATATGCATAAACATACATCATGCATACATACATACATAAACACACACTTGTTTCTTTCCTTTCTCTCAGTTGTTCGGAGACCGCTTCTTCAAGATCCCGCACGATGACACGTGGAACCTCACGTGGCACCATCTTGGTCCCGGCCGCGTCTTCGCCTACGAGCTCATGCACAACAGGGGACAGGAGTGTGAGTCATGCCAGGCGCCCGCCTGAGGCCCAGCTCATTGTTGTCGTTTTTCATATACGTTCATTCAGTGGATATCCATAAGATAAATGTGCATAAATATTATATATCTATCTCTCTATTTATCTATCTATCTCTCTCTCTCTCTCTCTCTCTCTCTCTCTCTCTCTCTCTCTCTCTATATATATATATATATATATATATATATATATATATATATATGTATATATATATATATATATATATATATATATATATATATATATATATATATATATATATATAAACATGTACATACATACACACATATATGTGAACATAAATACAGTAACGTGTTCATAAGGATGAAAAGAAGCTGCCACAATATGAAACGATAAGCGTTACGACCATTTTCAATTCATGTTGTGGTAGTGTTTTTTTCATAAATATTAGTGTATGTGTATGTTCATATTTAAACATTATATATATATATATATATATATATATATATATATATATATATATATATATATATATATATATATATGCATATATATATACATACATACAATTGCCTGCACCTATGCGTCTGTATAAGGCATTAGATATTAATCACCGTTTTCCCCGAAACATGAACATAGTAGTCTGAACATTCGGCGCATTCCGTTCCGTTGCAGGGGTTGTGCATCCGGCAATACTGCAGTACCTGTTCCCTTACCCCAACGCCCCTCGTCTTAAGGGCGAGGACAAACAGCTTTCTGACACGTTGTTGAAACTGTGGGTGAATTTCGCATCAACGGGGTAGGTGCTGAGTTTATTCAATTTTCTTATACTCTTGGCTGGATTACTGTTGAATTATTATTTACATGTGTTTTGTTATTTATTGTCGTTATTATTATTATTATTATTATTATTATTATCAGTATTGTTGTTATCATCATTATTCTTATTATTATAATTATTACAATTGTTATTAATCTGTTATTATTATGATTTTTACTATTATTAATATTGCTATTATCATTATTAGTATTATTATTATCAATAACAATGTTATTATTATTGTTATTATCAATAACCATCTTGTTATTATCATCATCATCATTATTATTATTATCATCATTATTATTATTATTACTACTACTATTATTATTATTATTATTATTATTATTGTTATTAGTATAATTGTTATCACTATTATTCTCATTATTATTATTATTATTGTTATTTTTATTCTCATTATTATTATCATTGTTATCACTTCTATCATTATTATCATTACAATTATTATTATATTATTATGATTATCATTATTATCATTACCAGTGTTATTACTGTTGTCGTTGTTGCATTTATATTACCATTATGATTATCGTTGTTGTTTTCATTGTTGTTGACAATAACTATACCAGTATTAATCATAATTATAATAAAAATCATCATCACCATCATCATAAAAACAATGAAAACTACTGCATCAACAATAGAAATAACCATAGCACTGATAAGAGATTAATGATCTTAATAATAAAAGAAATGCTTAATGCTAAATGATGATAAAAACATATAATATTATCATTACCTAAGTATATATAAGTGTGTGTGTTATTACGAAAACCAGGGACCCGACACCTGACTCCTCTCTGGGTTTCCGCTGGCCGTCCGTCAGCGCCTCCAGACAGGCCCACCTCAGCTTCACGCCCATGCCTGTTATGACGTCATCCTCTAGACTGAACGTAAGGGTTTATTTACATTTGTAAAGTATATCTGCTTATACATTTTACATGAATGAAATCTCAAGGGAGTGAAAGCTAATAAACGTTTGGCAATCTTCAGGAATGGTTGTTGTGGACTTCATTTCCAACCGAAGCGAACAGGTTCCTTCACCTCGACCGCATTCAAGAGTATGTGCGATCGCATGCC